ACAAACAGAGGAGCGTCAAGCAAGACAGGACTCAGAACTTGCAAAGCTGAGAGTGGAAGAGATGGAGCAAGGTATTGCTGATGACTCCAGCATTGCTGCCAAGGCACAGCTTGAGGTAGCTAAAGCCAGGTATTCATCTGCTATCACGGAGTTAACATCTGTTAAAGAGGAGCTGGATGCATTGCGTGTGGAATATGCATCCTTAGTTGATGAAAAAGATGAAGCTGTTAAGAAAGCTGAAGAGGCTGTTGCTTCATCAAAGCAAGTAGAGAAGACAGTGGAAGACTTGACTATTGAGCTCATTGCCACAAAGGAGGCACTGGAATCTGCTCATGCTGCACACATGGAAGCAGAGGAACACAGAATAGGGATAGTCATGGCAAGAGATCAAGATTCTCTCAATTGGGACAAAGAACTTAAACAGGCAGAAGAAGAACTTCAGAGACTCAACCAGAAGATTTTGTCTGCTAATGATCTCAAATCTAAACTCAACACAGCCTCGGCTTTGCTGCTTGATTTGAAAGCCGAGTTAAATGTTTATATGGAATCATCTAAGTCTAAGCATGAAGGTGATGAAGGAGAGTTAGAGGAGCCAGAGAAGAAGACTCACAGTGAAATACAAGAAGCAGTTGCATCAGCCAAAAAGGAGCTTGAGGAAGTAAAGCTTAACATAGAGAAAGCCACCACTGAGGTAAATTACCTAAAGGTGGCTGCAGCATCATTGAAATCAGAACTTGAAAATGAGAAATCATCTCTTGCATCGATTCGACAAAGAGAGGGAATGGCCTCCGTTACGGTTTCATCTCTTGAATCTGATCTACACAACACTAGATCAGAAATGGCTTTGGTTCAGATGAGGGAGAAAGAAGGCAGAGAGAGGATTCAGGAGCTTCCAAAGAAACTACAGCAAGCAGTTGAAGAGGCTAATCAGGCCAACTTGTTTGCTCAAGCAGCTCGCGAAGAGTTGAGGAGAGTGAAGGAGGAGGCAGAACAAGCCGAGGCTTGTGCAAGTACAATGCAAAGTAAATTACTTGCAGCACAAAAAGAGATAGAGGCTGCAAGGGCCTCTGAAATGTTGGCAATAGCAGCAACTAAAGCATTGAATGAGTCATCTAGGAACAACAACAATGAAGCAGTGGATTCATCCTCTTGGGTGTCGGTTTCGGTGGAGGAGTACTATAATCTCAGCAAACAAGCACATGAAGCAGAAGATCAAGCCAACATTAGGGTTGCAGCTGCTAATTCTGAAATCAAGATAGCTAAGGAGTCTGAATTGAAAACCTTGCAGAAGTTGAATGATGTGACTAGAGAGATGGCTGCTAGAAGGGAGTCTCTGAAGATTGCAATGGAGAAAGCCGAAAAGGCAAGGGAAGGAAAATTAGGTGTAGAACAAGAATTGAGAAAATGGAGGGCTGAACATGAGCAAAGAAGAAAAGCTGGTGGATTGGGCCAAGGAGAAGTAACGCAAAGTAGAAGTACCAAGGTTAGTTTTGAGAGGCATAAGGATGCAAATAATTTTGACCAAGCTCATAATGCATCTATGCCTGTACATTACTTGTCCAGTTCAAAGTCTTATCTTCATTCAAATAGTGGAACTGTACCATCCCCAGAAACAAGAAAGAAGAAGAAGAAGTCATTTTTCCCATGGATTTTGATGTTCTTTGGTAAAAAAAGGTCGCATTCAACGCATTGATGATAGTCCCTTGTTGCACTGTTATGCTGCAGATATCTGAACATCTCATCCTTTTGGAGGTTATTCAAAGTTATACCATACTTGTACATGTTAGTCATTGCTGTGTGTATGATAATGGTTCATTGCATTATACTCCATCTCACTGAGAGGATTGTGAATGGTCTCCAACTCAGCGTTTTATGAGGACATACAAATAAGTTCTGCATCCCTGGTGAGAAAAGAAAAAATAACATGAATATGTATCATGTATAGGCTTCTGATGTATTGAACCTCGGCTTTTGTAAAGATCTGTGAGATTTGATCGGATCAAAGAGATTTTTTGAGTTTGAGATTTGAAGTATTATGAATGGCATGGTGTGTGCATATTGGAGATAAAAGTCATCCAACTGAGCCGGGGAAAAGCAACAAAGCTTCTATATCATGTAAAGGCCAAAGTCACTTGCCTTTAAATAAATTTTGCTGAACAAAGGTTAAATCTTGAGCCATTACTTAAAATCATTAAAATGTATAATTGCACACTGCAATCGATCCGCGCACAGTCCCATCCACAGTTAGCAATACATTCACGTTGTGGCCGGAGCTTTTACATATCTAGCATATAATTACAGCTATTTAACTTATATATGATTACAATCTCTTATCATAAAATCTTACAAAAGCGAGTCTTCAACCTCTTAGCATGCCTTGTTAACTACTAAAATGATGGTAGCTATCTTATGATCGTTGTTTTATTCGTACAAATAAAACTAAATCTGAAGTAAACACAGACCCATGTGGGTTGATAATCATAAGACCTACCATTAATATTACTGCCGCTAATATTATTACCGCTATAATTACTACTACCGCAACTTATCTGTAATCAAAATAATTTTATTTAATATAAATATAAATATACCATGGTAAACTCCCAATAATCTTATTCTTAATGATTCTATTTATTTAAATTATTTCTCAAGCACGGCTTCATTGTTGCTTCATTTTCTTTCCCACACAGCGTAGTCTTGTCCACTGGTAGCGACCTGAACATTTGGTGGAAGAAGGTTCCCAAGATCTTGTTTAGGTCCAATCTTGACAATGATCTTGTTGTCAATCTCGGCCATGTAGAGATCAGCCTCAGCAGCCAGAATATTTACGGTGCTTGTGGCCGTAATTCCATTCCTCTTCCTTATTTCGGTCACTGTCTTTATCGGCTCCTTTAGCCCCCATTCGATGTAGTGATCGTAGAACTGCATGCACAAACAACACAAATGTAACAACATTTTAGATTTATACAATTAAACTATTCTCAATATACTTTTGGGTGTTAAAAATTCTTTATATCTCTTATTAATTTTAAACGTACTTTTAGAAACGGTTATCATACATCAACTAAAGTATATATCCAGAAGAAATTATTTGGTGGTCTTAAACCACATTATTCATATAGTTAGTCTATTCGTAATATGTAATGAAGTGTAATTAATTTTTTCTTGAAAGTTGAAAATTTCAAATGTATGTCATGGAATAATTGATTGAAACCATTAACACTTGAACTACCTAAAATAGGACATGCAAATATCAAGAGATAAAGTAATACTTACAATTGTGGGGTGTCCCGGATGAGTGAGGATGTAAACATAACCCAACATAACTTTATCAGAAGGGAAAGGCCACGTTCTCTGAGACCAAGTGTCATGGTTGTCGACGAAGGTGACAGCATTGGAAGGCTTTGTTCCGATCATCCCGGGTGGCTTCCCATTAGAGTCTTTCATCCTCCACAACTCACCCTGAACAGCAGCACCTAGAACCATTTTGGTGGTGAAATCAAAAGCAGTAACAGCACCACCCGCTTCATCAACCCATTTCACCAACGTTGCACGGTGCGCGTCCTGGTTCGCCAAGGGCCTCCCATCTTCTCCCCTCGACACGTTCTGATACAATTCCCCTATCATGCACAATACAAGACGTGTATAAGAAGAAGAAAAAATATAATACATACTCAATTTGGCAATATGATTAAATACTTGTTGGAGTTCAAGTGTGAAGTGAAGTCCCACATTGGTTAGAGTTGGGCATATATGTTGAGTAATATATAAGTGAGAAAGACCCACCTACCTAATGCTTTAAGGTTTTAGGTTATGTTGTGGTGTCAAGCTCACTTATATTACTTACTCACTACCCATTGTGTGAAATGCTCCCCGGCGTTAAAAACTCCCCAACATTGGTATCAAAGCCTGGTTCGACCAAGTGACTGGTGATCGACTCAGACGAGTATTGGCTGGGATCCTGAATGGAATTGGCAGGAGATTCAAGAGTAGGATCATCCCTTGTACTAAAAGTCTCCCTAGAGGTGTGGAGGACTTGTGTCGTTGTGCAACGATAGTGCAAGTAAGGCCACCATTGAATACTCGTGGACGAAAGAAAAGCTTCCGCTCGAGGAGGAGCGTGACCATGTTGAAGGGATTCACACTTGAGGGGGAGTGTTGGAGTTCAAGTGTGAAGTGAAGTCCCACATTGGTTAGAGTTGGGCATATATGTTGAGTAATATATAAGTGAGAAAGACCCACCTACCTAATGTCTTAAGGTTTTAGGTTATGTTGTGGTGTCAAGCTCACTTGTATGACTTACTCACTACCCATTGTGTGGAATGCTCCCCGGCGTTAAAAACTCCCCAACAATACTGTGAGTCATTTTAACTAAATATCTTGAAATATCATATTTATAAGTCATTTTGAGTTATTACTCAACTTCTTAACTCAATCTAAGACATCAAATTTATGAAGCTTTTTCTTTTATCAAAATATTAATACTCTTGTTTACAAGTCTATTTGACTTTGTCAAATACATACTTTTCTAACTCTGAATATGTAAGTCTCTTGTTCACACTTATATACTAACGATAGCAACCACAGCACGACATATTAATTATAGGGAGGTTAGTAGGAACTTACCAACCGCAAAATCGGGTGAGGTATGGTCCATGTAGATTTTGGTGAACCTGGGTGCGTACCCGACAACCATGTCGAATCTCCACCCAGAGAAGCCAACTTCTGTCTTGAGCCAATTCATCCAATCTGAGAGCTCCTTCTGCACCGTGGGATTGGTGTGGTCGACGTCGGGGGCGCCCCACCAGTCGTCGCCGGTGTCGGGGTTCCCGGTGCCGTTGAATCTAACGTCGGTGCTGCAAATGTAGGACACGTCCCAGTCGAGGCGCGTGTCGGGGGTGCCACCTTCGAAGACGCTAAGTCCTCTGTTGTCGAGCCTCTCCGCTGTTCGGTGGTTTATGACTATGTCGGACACGGATTTCACTCCTCTCGCGCGGAATGCCGCTATCAGCGACTTCAGCTCCTCCTTGTTCCCGTACTTTGACGTGTCCAGGTCGTATAGCCTCTTCGGCAAGTAACCTAGCTTCACCACAATCCAAATCACAAGTTAAATGGTTACTTCAAAATGAAACAACATTGATCAAATCACGTCAATTCTCAACTAAAAGTTCCAATGCAGTGCGTTTGTTTTCATGCAAAGCGGTGCATTCTGTCTTCTACGTACTGGTTCAGGTGGTTTCACTCACATATCTTTAGCCATACATGCAGTTCCCATTTTTCACATGGAGTAGTAGTACACGTTATGTATTTTCAATGTTCATGCTCCATTAATCATCCTGGCACGCAGTTAATGCACTACATGTATGAATAAAACTTACATGCTGGAGCATGTCTAATACTTTGAGAAATTAAGTATTCTGAAATATATTTCTATTTATGACATGTAATTAAATATTATTAAAAAAATTGTAAATTGAAAATTTTAAATACACCTTATATAATAATTGATTATAACAATAGAGATTTAGTAATTTATAAATTATAGCTTCTTAATAATTTCTGCATGTAAGTTGTGTATTTCTGAAATCAGTGGGGCCATGGTGGCTAAATAAATCAAAAGGTGGTTTAAATATTCTATACTAAGTTTGTTGGTCTGGGTTTGGTAACTGTCTCATTAAATGAAATGAGAAGAACTTAAAGAAAATATATACCTTGAGGACCATCATCGTGAGAGTTAGAGGGAGGAGGAAGCCAAACATACTCAACTCCAGCATCAGCTATGTCCGGTACCAAGGTCTTGAGGAAGTTGTACCATCCTCCTGCTTTTTCAATTGATGCCCAGTTGAACCCCTATAACACAAACACATGTACATCTTACTTAAAAAGAAAAAGAAAACAAATAAGCACCTTTACTTGCATGTGATCAGTCATATAACAATGTTTGTTTGTAAATACAAAAAGAGAAAATCAGTGGGATTGACCATATGATAAAGATTGAGATAGATATATGGAGATCAAGGTTTGATCTCATCGTTTTTGTTGTAAAAAAATTTTGTTGATAAAAATACAAAGAAAGAGAGGTTGAGATGAATTTCACAATTAATTGATACCTGAAATAGTATGGCCGGAGAAGAAAAAGAAGGGAAAAGAGAAATGCAAAGGAAGAGGAAGCACAGTGAAGTAAGAAACTTGTCCATGTTTAATTTGTATTTATGGGTGCTTCAATTCTATTCTATATGTGGCATTTTATAGACATCCTTAAGCCAGTGGGGTACCTTGATTTTCAAAGTGATTAGTGTCCTATCCCGAAGGGTACGTACGAAAGTTTGGTTTGCCCGGGTGGGCACTTGCGTAACAATTTGAAGTTTGACAAGTAAAAGATAAATGGAATATATATATATATAGAGAGAGAAATTGATTTACTTAATCTAAAAGTAAGGTAATAAATTTACTCTGCTTAATAACTTATGTTTTATATCAAATTTTAACAATTCAGTTAATAAAAAGTTTTTAATATATAGATCAATGATAAATTTTTTAAAAAAATTTAAAATTATTTGATATTATATTTTATTAATTCAAATTTACGAATAATCATAAAGATATTTTATATGAATATCAAATAATTTTTAAACTTTCTAAAACTTTGCAAACCTGAACTATATGTATTTAGAATCTTTTATTTAATGATTAAATTATTAAAATTTGATATAACTCATTGAGTAGAGTAAATGAATATATATATATATATATAAAGAGAGAGAGAGAGAGAGAGAGAGATCCATTTATTATAGGAATAAGTCTACCTAAATTTACTCCATTCAATAACTCATGTTTTAGATCAAATTTCAACAATCCAACCGTTGAATTTAATAAAGTTCTTAATGCATAGATCAAATTTGCAAATTTTTAAAAATTTTGAAAATCATTTGATATTTCGTTTCAATAATTCAAATCAATGTATAAAATGATTTTATGATTATCTATCAATTTGAATTAATGAAATGAAGTATCAAATAATTTTCTAATTTTTTTAAAATTTGCAGATTTGATCTATGCATTAAGAACTTTAAATTCAGTGGTTGGGTCGCTGAAATTTGATATAGAACATGAGTTATATATATATATATATGAATGCTTCTAACATGAAGAGATGAGTCCATGCCTCATTCATGAGGCACTAAAGTTACCAGTAATAACAAGTTTTCCAACTTGTTTATATTTGCAAAATATAGTCCTTATATTATATGCAGAGGCACAATGGACACTACAAGAAAAATGTAAATTTCTGACGGAAAATTTTTGACGGATATGGATCAGTCGGCAATTTCGGACAGAATTTTCCGACGAATATTTCTGTCAAAAATTTCCAACGGATTTATATTTCCGTCAAAAATTTCCGACCACCAGATGATGTCACCGTGGCCTTTCGCCTAATGGGGAATGGACATCCTCAGACCGTTTCCCCCCGCGAAGGGTCAACTCAAATTCCTCCTAGTGGCAATCGACTACTTCACCAAGTGGATCGAGGCATGCCCACTCGCCAAGATCACCGCTGAGAATGTACAGAAATTCACCTGGAAGAACATCATCTGCATGTTTGGCATCCCACATTCTCTCATCACCGATAATGGCAAACAATTCAAAGCGTAGAGCTTCGAGGACTTCCTCCGTGAACTCGGAATCAAACACCTCCCGACCTCGATGGAGCATTCCCAAACCAATGGCCAAGTTGAAGCCGCAAACAAGGTAGTACTCTGAGAACTCAAGAAACGGCTAGTAAGCGCTAAAGGAAAATGGGTTGACGAGCTCCCCAGCATTCTCTGGACGTACCAGTATACACCCCAATCAACAACATAGGAAACACCTTACAGGCTGACCTACGGAGCCAATGCCATGATTCTAGTGGAGGTCGGTGAAACATCTCATCGGCGTCACACCTTCGACAATGAGCAAAACGCTCAAGAAACGGCAATCAACCTCAACCTCATCGACGAGCTCAGAAAGGAAGCTCGGATCCACGAAGAAGCCTACAAACTCCGAGCTTCCAGAAGATACAACACGCGAGTACCGTACTTTCAAAGTCACCAGGTGGTCGTCAAAATCGACTACCCGATCAAGCAAATCTTGAGAAAGCCGGAGCTCGCCGGACGCATTATAGCATGGTCAGTAGAGCTGTCCGAGTTTCGCATCCAATATGAAAGCCGCAGCCCCTTAAAAGCTCAATGCCTGGCAGATTTCGTGGCCGAACTCACCCCAACCTCGGCTGAAGAACAACAGGTATGGACTTTACACGTTGATGGAGCCTCGAATTCTAAAGGTGGTGATGCAGGTATCATTTCTGAGGGACCAAATAAAGTCACCGTAGAGAAGTCTCTCAAATTTGGCTTCAAAGTGACCAACAATCAAGCAGAATATGAAGCGCTACTAGCAGGATTGAGCTTGGCACGTGACCTCGGAGCACAGCGGGTGAGTTGCAACAGCGACTCAAAACTCATGGTAGAGCAGCTTAGTGCGGCATACCAGACCAAGGATACCCTTCTCCAGAGGTACTTCCATGCAGCATCCCAGGAGATCTCGTCTTTTGACGAGTTCACCATACACCATGTGCCCCGAGAGCAGAATGCCAGAGCCGACCTCCTATCCAAGCTCGCCAGTACCAAGCGCCCCAGACAACACCAAACCATCATCCAGGAGACTCTGAATTCACCTAGCCTGGACGACAAGGTCGTCAATGCTAATGACAACGGAGACCAAGGATGGATGACAGGTATTTGGAACTACCTAAAGGAGGGAACCCTACCCGAGGAAAAGGATGAAGCTTGGAAGACGAGGGTAAGGTCAACTAAGTTCGTCATCGTCAAAGATGAACTGTTCAAACGCGGCATCTCTACTCCTTTACTAAAATGTTTAGCGGGGTCCCAAGCCACATATGTCATCGAGGAGATCCATCGAGGGATATGTGGTATGCATTTCGGGGCACGCTCGATGGCGATCAGGGTGCTCCGAGCTGGGTACTACTGGCCCACATTGAAGTCAGATTGCCAAGCTTATGTGCAAAAATGTAAGGAATGCCAGCAGTTCGGCAATGCACATCGACAACCACCTGAAGTCTTTCACCAGATGATGTCACCGTGGCCTTTCGCCTAATGGGGAATGGACATCCTCAGACCGTTTCCCCCCGCGAAGGGTCAACTCAAATTCCTCCTAGTGGCAATCGACTACTTCACCAAGTGACATATACATTTCGGTAGCTTACTCATCAGAACTTCACAGTACACTAAACAGTGAAATATTGTGAAATAAAACTCTTGAGAGGCCAAATATGAGGGTTATTATATTAATAAATTTATTAAAATTAAAAAAAATTATAATTTTCGACGAAAAATTCTGTCCGAAAATTCTCAGAAATTTTCAATGGATTTTTCCTTCATAAATTTTTTACGGAATTTTCTGACGGATATTTTTGAAGGAAATTTCTGACGAAAATTTCTGACGGAAAAATCCGTCAAAAAAAATTATTTTTGACGGATTTTTTTTTTCGACGCCACTTTTTTCGACGGATTGAAATCTGTCGGAAATTTGTCGGAAAAAGAAAAATCTGTCAAAAATTTACCTGTTTTCGTCAGAAATTTTTGTCGAAAATCAGCATTTTTCTTGTAGTGGGAGGCGCGATGGCAGCAAAGCCACGGTGGTAGCGGAGGTGTCATCTCCTTCCACGATGGTGGTAGCGGAGGAGTGACCTCCTTCACATAGTGGCAGCGGAGGCGCAGGCTCCTTCAGGAGGTGGCAGCGAAAGCACGGTAGAGCCGCGGGCTCCTTATGGCAGCGGAAGCGCGGCTTTGTTCGCGCGATGACAGTGGAGGCGCAAGCTCCTTCAAGTAGTGGTAGCAGAAGCGCGACTTTGCTCATGCGGTGGCAAGGGAGGCGCGACCTCCATTGCGCGCAGTGAAAGCGCGACTTCATTCGCGCGGTGGCAGCGGAGGCGCGACCTCCTTCGCACAGTGGCAGCGGAGGTGCGGGCTCCTCCTTGGTGCCACCAGCGTCATGTCCCTCCTCTGTCACTACCTCCCCCACCCTGTCGTCTGTGGAGTTCAACTCTTCCAGGCCTCTCCTTCGCCTTCTTCGTTGTCAACTACATCCGCTACGACCAAAACCTCGCTACCTCCAAATCTGGCCCTCCCTGTCCCTGGCTCACCCTCGACGGTCTCGCCGTCACACTCGCCACCGTCGTCTTCCTTATCCTCTCATCCCACCAGCAGCCAAAACAACAACCCTCTCAAATTCTGTATTTTTACACAGGGACTAATCTGCAAAATACAAAAATTTTCTTTTCTCAGTTATAGGTAATAAATTTGAACCGTTGATTATTATAATATTAAATCTAATAGTTAAAAATAATGTTTCATCCATGTACCATATTTTTTGTTACTTCATGTTAGAATTTTCTTATATATATATATATATATATATATATATATATAT